TTTTGATAATAAACAATTGTTGAAATTAGCTGTGGATAACTACGCAGTCAAGTGGGGCAAGGATATACAATGGGTAAAACAAGATGCTACACGGATGAGAGTTAAATGCAAGGCAGAAAATTGTCAATGGATGTTGTTTGCCTCTAAGGTTGAGGCCGGTGATGACTCTCTTGTGATGAAGACTATGGGACCTGAGCACACTTGTGGCCGGACATTCTACCACAAGAGAGCTACCTCAGGTTTTCTAGCTAAAAAATATGCAGAATTTTTAAGGTTGAATAAGAGAATCACTGTTGAGGAATTTAGGGAGAAGGTGCATTCGGAACTTAATGTTCACATCACTATAGCACAAGTATACAAGACATTCATGAAAGCAAAGATCATAATCCATGGGAGCTATAAAGAACAATATCAAAGGCTTTGGGATTATTGTGACGAGCTGCTAAAATGCAATCCGGGTTCCACTGTGTACATGGAGACAGAGTTAGATGAAGACATTGGGAGAGAGAGATTCCAAAGGTTGTATGTCTGCTTTGGGGCACTAAAAAGAGGATATAAGTCTGCATGTAGGCCCGTCATTGGAGTGGATGGCTGCCATTTACGAGGTCCACACCCCGGAGTGCTACTGACAGCTGTTGGGATTGATCCAAATGATTGCATGTATCCCATTGCTTATGCAGTAGTGAGGCTGAAAACAAAATGTCTTGGAAGTGGTTCGTCGAATTTTTGAAGTACGACTTGGAAATTTATGACCAAAGAAAGTGGACACTTATTAGTGATAGACAAAAGGTACTGTCTTGCTGAATTAATTAATTTTCATTCTTACGATAAATTTAATACTTAATTCTTACTGAAATTTAATAATTAATTCTTACTGAAATTTAGTACTTAATTTGATATGTAATCTTATAACAGGGTTTAGGGACTGCAATTCATGAAGTGCTTCCAGAAATTGAGCATAGACACTGTGTTAGGCACCTCCACAACAACTTCAAAAAGTTGCACCCGGGCTTGGCATTGAAGGAGAGATTTTGGACTTGTGCTCGGTCGTCCTACATGACATGGTTTGAAAATCAGATGGAGAGTTTGAAGGAATATGATGGAAAAGCATGGAAATGGCTAATTGAAAACATATCACCTTGTCATTGGTCAAGATCGCACTTTCGGACCACACCAAAGTGCGATATTCTGCTCAACAATTTGTGCGAGAGTTTTAATTCAGTCATTATGGCAGCTAGGGAAAAACCAATTTTGGGAATGCTTGAGACACTCAGAATTTATCTAATGGAAAGGCTGAGAACCAAGAGAGAATGGATGAAGAAGAGAAATGACAAGATATGTCCCAAAATTCAGAAAAAACTTGAGAAGGCAAAAACAGAAGCTGCTTCAAACATTGCAAGATGGTCCAAGGAGGACCAGTTTGAAGTGACACATGCGTATGGTGGAAAGTATGTGGTTGATCTCAAAAAACAAACATGCACGTGCCGAAGATGGGACCTGACTGGCTGGCCTTGTTGTCATGCCATATGTTGTATTTCCTTGACTGGTGTAACTCCCGAATCGATGGTTCATCAGTATTACTCAAGAGAGAATTACTTGAAAGCCTATGAACCAGCCATAGCTCCAATGAGTGGCCCGAATGCTTGGGTCCAGTCCAAAAAAGAGCCGGTGCTACCTCCAACGAAGTTAAAGCTCCCTGGTAGGCCCAGAAAAGCACGGAGAAGAGAGTCTGATGAGCCAAGGGCCAATTCCGTAGGTGTAACAAAGCTGCCTAGAAGAGGACTTGTGAAAATAAAGTGTTCAAATTGCCATTTAGAAGGTCATACTGTTAGAAAATGCCCATTGATCATTCCAGTGAATGAGTTGCCCGGTTCATGCTGTGGTAGGCCACCATCGTCTAACTCCAATAAATGCAGCTTCTGCAAGGAGAAAGGCCATAACAAGAGGACTTGTCCACAACTAAGTAAGACAACTAAGAGGCCTGAAGTGAATGAAGACCACGGATCAACTACTACAGTTGGTACTGAAGATTGCTTGTTGAATTAATTTTTTTTATGATTAATTCAAAACTAACATAAATTGATACTCTTTTGTTTAACAGATGTAAATCAGGCCTTCAATGATGGGGAAAGTGGAAGAGACCAACAAAAAGCTGCTACCGTATCTTCATCAAATAATGGTTTGCTGTGTTTCTATGTTTTTCTAAATTTTTTCGACTAGAGTTCTTTTAATGGTTGTATGTTCTTTTGCTGAATTAATTGTAAGCTTTTCTAGTCCCAGGTGGAATTGCAGAAGCTGGTACCAAAGATGCTGAAGTGATAGAGTTCCAGCTTTCGGCTCCCCAAGCTATTTCTACTGATTTGCCGGAAAAGGTGATGAAGTGTTCAGTTTGCAAGAAAACTGGACATAATAGGCAAACTTGTGATTCCTTTCAAGCTCGATCTTGGAGAAAAAGACGGGCTGCTATGTCAGTTTATGGTCCATTTCCTCCTTCAAAAGGGAAAGGGACCAGGAGAAAACAAACGGTCTGTTTGCGAGTATAATTGTTAATCAAAATTGGAAATTCGTTGTATACTTTATTCCCTAACGCATGTATGTGATTTATGCAGGCACATAGGCTGTTAGATGAAGATGATGATGAAGCTGACATAGCAATACTGGAGGGATGATTAATAGATGTGAACCCCCCTGACTGCTTAATTTTTTGTTGCACATGTTTAGGGCATGAAGTCTCCCTAATATAGATCTTACAATTGTAATTATAGCGTACTGATCATGTGGGGGAAAGAGAACAGAAAATATCATTGTGATTGTTTTGTTTTGTAAAAGTCTGCCAATGTTACCTTGCCATGTATCTCATTGCCTAGACATGAGCTTGGCATTGATCTCTTTTGGACAATTGGAATTCACTGGTTATATGAAATTCCTAATATCTTTTGTTGGTTGCATATTCATCAGGTGTTACATGGGTTGGTTGTGTTTAGAGATTGTCAAATTTTAAGGCGAAATCTTGCCAAAATTTTTAAGACACCATTAGCTACCTGAATGGCTATCCTTACCATCTAGAATGAGATTAAAATTGCAGAATTAGCATGTCTATCCTTACCTAACTCTGGATGGTATAGACATTTCAAAGTTTAGTAGCACAGGTACGGGAGATGGAGTCATGACTTTCTCGTGCTTATGTAGCTTTCCTTTTGTCTGCCTTCTTGTTTGGTATAACTAACTCTATCTAGCAAAATAGTAGTTTTTATTAATTTTGCAAGTTTTATTAATCAAGTTGTATAGCTTATACATGGAGCAGTCAACTGAGTTACATCAATAGCTCCCTAAACATATCTATATGTTCCTTACTATGAACAATGAAAACATAATCAGCAACATGATACACCTATCAAAACAATTATGAGTGAAATGTTTGTGGCAAAGCAACCAAAGAATGAAGGAGAACCGAGGAATGCTATCTTTATCCCACACAAATTTGCATAATTCAACCTTAGCTCCAGCAGGTCTCAAAGCCGATGTGAAATGTTCTGCACGAACCAGCTAGCCATTTATTTTGATCAGCCTTATCTAGAGTGGAAACAAACAGATTTGGAGTGACGTTCTGCAATTCCCTCACTAGCCTACATCAGATAAGGACACTTGAGAAAACGAATAAAACTACGGATCAACTACAGGTTCCAACAAAATTTGCTAATTCTGCATTTCATCAACAGAAGACAGCTTCTAACAAAATAGATTACGATAGGCTAAATCTAATTTTTAATCTCGTTCAGGAAGGCCTATCAACATGTCCATATACAAAATTTGCCCAAAATTCGATATATATATTAGACAAATGCTTCATCAAATGCTTACACAGCCTTACAACCAAATCATAGTCAGACAAAATTAAGGCCAACCATAGCCACCTTACAACTTCATGAACAAAAGGCTAACAGCAACTACATACGTTTCTCTAATTCATCTAAACTAACATTTGGAGCCCCAAATCTTTTTTAGCATGTCCTCTTTTCTTGTTGCCAACAAGCACAGCAATTAACAAGCAACCACAACAAACAGCAACAAAAACTAGCAACTTGCTCTTATCTCTTAACTTTCGAATTTCAGCCTTCATCATCTTCTTTTCTTCTTTCAACCTTGCAAGTTCAATCTTCATGAACTGGTTCTCTTGTTCAGCTTTCCTGAGTTCCTTCAAAAGTTTTGCCATTGTATTTTTTGTCATCTCCGGCATTGGTGGATCATACCACAAAAAGTACTTGCAAGCCTTCGGTGACTATAATCAATATCAATACCTCAATTAGATTACCTATTATTGCAAGTTGATCTAAAGCACAAATTACTACTAAATACTCATATCCGATTATACTGCCAAATTTAAAAAATTAATTCCCCTGAAGACAGATTAACAAAATAGAAAAAAATACCCCATAATTCTTGCAGCCGTGGAATCTTCTTCCTGGATTTGACAATGTCCACGAAGTAGCTATTCGACATGGTTCATTACAATCACAAAACACGCTCTCAGATCCATTGTACTCACCTACCTTCTCTCTCTTCACTCCTGATAAATTTTCACTTTCCTCATCCTTATGATTTGAGTGTTGGAAGCTACACGAACTTGATGCTCCATTGAAATACTTTTTCCCTTGATGCATCTTACATGTGCTCCTTTGCAGAAACAATTGGGCAACTAAAAATGAGCCCTAATGTCTTCAAACCAGATGCTCGCCCCTTTTTGTAATGATATCTAATTCGTTTCAGTGGATAATTGCAGGAGATTAAGCCAGTGTGACAATTATACCCCTTTGGTCCACGCGAATTGAGTAAAATGTAGTAAAAAGTCCTACATTGAAAGCAAAAAACTAGTTCAGGGACTAAATTGGTTAAAATATTTAATGAAGGACGAAATTGATTTAAGTGAAAATGTTTAGGGACTAATTTGGCGAAATTCCCCAGAAGAAATCAAAGAAGCGAGAAGTTTCCCAAGTACATTTCCCTTCTCCAGCGTCGTTCCAAACGCAATCTTCGTCATCCCCGCAAAGGCAAAACCACCTTGGCTGGCTGGTCGCCCTCCTCTCTTCTCCACCATCCTCCTCATCCTGCTTCTTTTCTTTTTAATTTCTGGGCTCATCTTCTTATGCCTAATACTGCTAATCAATTGCAGAGGCTGGCCATTTGATTGATGCCCGCCATTGAATGATTTTGTTTTGTTCCACCACTGCTATATCAAATCAATATGTATTTAGATAAATGTACGTAGGAATCAGATAAGAGTTGGGTGTTAACGAAAACAAAGAAAAGAATGGATTTTGTGGGCTCCCCCTCTCCCTCTTCCGCCTCAACTTCTGCACCAAACGATGTCACTTCTCAGGTTTGCCATTTCTTACTTTCTGACCTTTGACAATACAAAAATGTGAGCTTTGTTCCGTTTGTTCAATCATGTTCTTTATTATTTTGAGGATTGTTTCAAATGTGATGTAATGGGTCCTCGGTTGATTGGATTGATCTTCCATTATATTACACCATATTATTGTTTTTACTCAATAAATACCATAAACAAGCTCTTCCTTTATTAGTTGCCCTGTTTGCTTTCGAAGATATTACTATTAAGTTTTAAGGTTATGATGCATCTTCGGAAAAATTCACATGTGAAACACGCGACAACCCTCCCTTTCCCCCCCCAAAAAAAAATTTGTTTTTGGGTAGAGATTGTGTTTTTCTCTCAAGTTTATGCCTTTACTAGTCTTGCCTTCCAAGCCTCATCTCTTGCATTTGCCTCTGTCCTTAGTTACTGTGCTCGTTTGTTTGCTTTAAAAGGTGGTATTGATTTTTACTTATATTTTCTTATGTACTGCTCTGTGCTTTTTTTGATGGAACTGAAACTCTTAGCATAATAAAAAAAGAAAAGGAAAGCCTGTTTTTAGTTTTGCATGAGTTAGTATACCACGCTACTTTCTAGAGCGCAATGCAAAATGCAGGCTTTGTTCAAGTGAACTGCAATCTTATTTCACTGTAGCTTACATCTATGTTAAGTTGACTTGTGTAAACTTTTAAAATACCATCAGATACATTATCAATAACAGATTCTAACATAGAAAAGTTCGAAAGAAAAAAAAAGGTGCAAACTAAAATTCCAGTGCAAGTTAAAATAAAAGACTGCAATCAGTTATAGTGAACAAATAGTTTATATATCATGCTTCTAGCATTTAAAGCATTTTAGGATGCATAGACTGTTAAGCTCCTAGTCATCTTCATCAATCAAGTCAGGAAACCTTTGAGGTTCTACCCTAGTAGTAATTGCTTATGGTTTTTCAAACATATCTATACAAATTACGAATCTGATTTTGAAAACTTGTTACTCTGTAAACCACTGGTGGAGTGTTTTGCGCACTAAGAGAACCTTTGGTTGAAAGTTTCTTATTCTCCTCACTTACCATTTAAATCCTCTCATGAAAAGAATTCACTTTGACCATTTTAACTTGGAATATCATCTTTTCAGGAAAAATATGATTTGTAGCTTCTTTTGGATGGGATTGAGTTTCAAGAACTTGGGCTTTAGACCATTTTACTTGTTCGAGTTCCTCTTATATCTCTCCTTTTTATTTTCTTTTGTACTGAATCCGAGGCAGTACCATCCTTCATTAATGTAACTCATTCCTCTCCTTTTGAAGTTGACGACTTCAGTTGGATAGCCTTAGGCTTAAAGGATTTTATCCTCTTGGTTTCAAGGGCATATACATATATGCATTATATATGTATGCTGATGCAGCACGAAAACTTGGTAGGCACAACAGCTTTGTAGAAAAGCTTAAGCCTTGTTTGGATTGCATTTTTCTAAATTTTTTGTAGAAAAATTACTGTAGCGATTTGATATATGTGAGGTAAAAAGGTGATTGAGAAATGTGTTCACGAAAAATGTAGCAAGGCCTTAGATTTGGAAAATGTAGCGATTTGGAAAATTGCTGTCCAAACAAGGCCTTAGATATTGAATGTCACCCAAACTTATAATAGCAACTTGGAATAGGATGGGAGAATATGCTTAAGAAGGTGAAAACTGATTGGTAATTCTAGGAATCACTCCTAGGAATCTTTAGGCGTCAGAGCTAAAGTTGGGATGTATCACACAACCCTAAGAAAGACGTTAAGTCTGCAGGAAAATTTTATTAATGACCAAAAACTGCCTTCTCTTTGTGGCGAAGTGGTTATTTATAGACTTTAGAAGAAAGCCAATTCTAATCCTAATTAGGACTCCTAACTAGAGTAGAATTCTAGTAGAAAGCTAGAAAGCTAAGCTTTCTTATTCCTCATAACAACTAAAAAACGAATTACCAAAAATAATTACTAGACAGAAAATTACCATAAACCTAAAATTCCTGCAGCTAATCCAAATTACTAAAATACCCCTGCTGGTGAAAATCAGAAAACAAACTCCATAGAATTCAAACCAACTCCTAAGTTGGTTCCTTGTCATCAAAAGCATGCCAAATCAATGCTTGGGCATTCGACACATCCTTCCCATGTCTCCTATAAACCTTAGTGGATTTTTGCCACTTATCTCTATCATATGCATGTATGTACGTGTGTATTACATACATAATTGTGTGTATACATATATATATGTATGCATATATTTATATGTGTGTGTGTGTGCATACATACATGCATACACGATACATACTCACACACACACAGATATACATATATATATGTATATATAGATATATGTGTATGTATGTGTGTGTGTGTTCCATATTCTATTATTAAGGACATAGTAAGATACACTAAATTTAGCAGAACCATATCGCCTGAAAGTGAAAGTGAAGGGTGAGGGTTCAAATGACAAAAGGCTTATGGTGGAATATATACATATATATGTGTGTGTGTGTGTGTGTGTGTGTGTGTGTTCCGTATTCTATTTTTAAGGACATAGTAAGATACACTAAATTTAGCAGAACCATATTGCCTGAAAGTGAAAGTGAAGGGTGAGGGTTCAAATGACAAAAGGCTTATGGTGGATACCTAGGTACGCTTAGATGAGGAAGGCTGTAGTAACGAACGAACTACTGCAGGAAGTGGAGAATAATAACATGTTTGTCTTTGAGTCTTGTGCTGTCTTCTTATGGTTGTCTTTTCTTATCCATGTTGTATTTGTAATATCAAAGTTGAATGTAATTTATATTTATTGTGCATGTACAGCTGGGAATATATAATTTTAGTCAAGCTGCTGTCTTTAGCTGTCTTTCTTTTAGTGGTCAACAGAGATTTTATTAGTTGGAAGTTTGGGTATATGATATACTAATATTTCAGTCAGTAGAATGTAATAACAATTCAATTTTTGGATATTTAGCATATCTATCTGTCATTCTTGTTTACATTATAACAATAGGAGGGAGGGAGCAAAGGAGGGGGCAAGGGATAATTGTTTGAATCAAGAAGCTACTTTCGTACTTATGATTGAAAAATAGAAAGATATTTGGACCTTCATAATGAAGTCGAGAAAGAATTCTGTTCTAATTATTTTTATCCTGCTTGGATGGTGCTAATATGAGGTCTGCTTGTGTATCAAAAAGTAGTGAAGTTTTAGTGGGGTGTTTAAGTTTCTTTCAGTTTTGTGCTTCCTCCCCCCTCCCTAATGTCCAATCTAAAAGAAGAGGAAAAAGGTAATCTCTATGTTTTGATTTGTGGCCAACTTGTTCCTTCTTTTGTAGGAGCATTATGTGACATCAATTGAGGCAGATCACGAGACAACGTGTTGGGGCTGTGGAGTCCGTCTTCTTGTTTCACCTCATGCACCTGTTTTCAAATGTGGCTGGTGTGGAGCAATAACTAACAGAAATGCATTGAAAAATAATAACCAGTACTATAAGTGGAGACGTTTGCGAGATCGTTGCTTTGTTGTTTTCGTCCTTTTGTTCATGCTTTTTATAATATGTAAGAAGCTATAATTATGCCATGCGCTTTATGCATTTCCCTAGCCTAGCTGCTGCATTGCATGTGCTTTCCTTCTGCCATTGGGCATCAGTGGGTGATAATATTTTAAACATGATTTCTTCATTGACATTGCTGAAAGTGGTTGTGTGTTCTCTAATCTACGTACAGAGGTCAAATAAATAGAATATGCTTCAAAGTTTTTCCAACAGAATATTGAAATAGGGCTCGCCTTTACCCTCTTGATTGCCAGGAGATATACATTTTTTTGGGTTCATCATTCTTGCCATTATGATCAGAGGAATATATTAAATGTCTTTTATGTTTCTCCTTTTAAATATAACACTATTCAGTTTTATTGGTGAAAGTTTTTCTGTTTATCTTTGTGCTTATTTAAACTTCATGCTTTCTTCCTAAAATAGGGGTTAGAGTTTCTTAATCTGAGAAGAGTGGTTATGGTGTATAATAGATGATGTGAGTTGGTATGAATCAGAAAAAGTGTAAACAGGTCAAGATCCTTGTCAACTTGTTCTTGGGTCATGTTGAATGGAATTGACGTCAAAGTTAGTGGTTTATGCTTATTATTATTCATCTGTGTATATTTGTTTTATATCATGGTGTTGGACAATTTGATTGAGAAGATTTTAAATGGCCATGATACAAGTCATAGCGTCCAACATGATTTTGGATACATTGGACAGGAGAACATTTTATGTGATGTCCTCATGGAAAAACGTGTAAGAAATATCTTGATATAAAATGTGTTGGCATTATTTCTATGTTTTGCACAATTGGAATTGCTAGATCCTGGAAAGTTAATAGGAGAGGAGGTAGGAAAGAATTCAAGTGTTAAATGGTGCTGCACACATTGCTTCTTCCGTTGACTACGCTTTGAAGAACTTCATTGTGTTTTGGAAACGTTACAAATACTTCTGTAGTAATATTTCTCTGTGAAGTGGTGTTGGATCAGAAAACTACGTTGAGTTTTAATCTTCTTGTGACTTTTTGTCTAACGTAACAATTAAGCTCATTGTTGAAGAAGGGTAGAAATTCACTTGGACCTTGCTTTGGTATGATTAGTCTTGTACTTGGGACATGTTCCTGGTGGCTTTTGATTTTGTAAAAGCTCAAAATCAGAATCCAGAAAGAAGGTCTCTTGTAACTTCTGATTTTGACCCTTTTCAGCATTAAAAAAGCCAAAAGCTGAAATAAAAAGCACTTGAAAACATTACATAACAAATTTCATTTAAAACCAGAAGCTAAAAACAGGTGTGAAAAAGTAGTTGAGAATAGGCCCATACTTTGCATCTGCAAAGATGTGAATTATTACATGATCTTTCATTTTCTACCGTATCTTTTAGATTTTGTTTTATCAATTTATCAAATTTGCTAGGTTTCTCTGGTTTAGATTGATATCTGAACCTTCCGTCTCCAATCTAGATATGTGGATTTTGATAAGTCTATTCTGTACTGAAGGTGCTATGATGATGTTGTAAAGTTTTGACTTGCATGCTATGTTGTCCTATGGTAAGAATGAAAATGGTTATTCTTGCGTGACTTCATGTTGAGGGCTATATACTGATGTTGAATGTTTCTTTCTGAGGAAGGAACAATGGAAAGGGGTAGATGGTAGATGAGAAAGCAGAACTTTCATTAGTTACTTAAGGGTGCAAAAGGGCTGGAAGCTGAGTTGAAAATGAGTGAAGAAAAATAATGTAAAGGTAATAAATAAAAAACTAAATCTGGTACTTAGCAAGTGATTTTAAGGATCGTGCGGTAGACATATCCAGGGTTTGTTTCCCCTTTTCTCTTGTTATTGAATTTGGAGTTAACCAATGCTCTCATTAAACAAGAGTTACAATTTCTCCATGTTTTAATTTTATACATCATGAAAATTATGAGACTCTTAGAAGACAAACTCTCACAGTGGAGATATGTACTGAACCTTTGATTGGACAAGTTGGTTTGGTTTTGTTCTACTTTGTGTTTCTTATAGCCTTCTCCAGAACAACCCAAGTGATTTGTGATCACCACCACACTTATCCATTTATGGTTAGTAATATACTACAGTGTTCCATGTGCTCATTGTCTTGCATTCAATTTTGTGGAATATTCTTTATGGAATAGTAATGGCTATCTCAGATGCAAGTAAATTAGGGTTTATAGGAAAGTTAGGGTATAAAAGATCTAATGATTTCTTGTTTCCTGATGACAATGCTCACACCTACTATCAAGGCTGAGAAGATCAGGAAGATGAAAATTCCTGTCACTGTTTTCTTAAGATATACTGGTTTATTGTTTCCTATTGCCTTCCCCTCAAACCGCCTGCAGAAAAGATTCCTGGTCCTAAACAACCTGCTGTTTCGGTGCCTTTCCTTTCTATTTTTTTCCTCTTTTAATGTTGATCATTATGTTTATCGGAAACTTGTTTGTCATCTAATTGTTTCTGTCTGTGTTACCATGCAAGTTGTGAGTCTCATCTAATTGTTTCTGCCTGTGTAACCATGCAAGTTGAGAATTGTTTTGGACTTAAGCCAGTAGGTAGTAAAGGAGTCTAAAGTCAGTGTGGAGTGTATTCACCTTTTAGGAATTAGTAGTTGCACGGCAGATTATGGCTTGTCCAGCCACAGACAGTAATTAGATAAAATTCCAGGCTATTTTGTTGGATCCATGTTTAATTTATTTAAGGTATGAATTCTCTTTAATGCTGTTGCCACACTTGTCTCTTATTGTTGCACATACTTTCATCTGATGGATGTTTTTGCACACAAGTTAATTTGGATGAATAACCTAGACTTTTATCTTCATTGCATGAAATGCAACCATTTTGTCCATTCAAAGCTGATCAAATGAAAGGTTGCATTAGTATTTCGAACAATGATGTGTTTCCCTTTATAATCTTGTGCAATGTCTGGTTGTTGTGGAAGAAAAAGTGCCAAAGTTCTCTTTCTTTATGCAGTAAAAAACTCAACGAAAACTGTTTAGGGGCATAGTTGTTGCTTTCCTGGTTTTTTCGTTATAAAGTAATTGATCTTGTTCTTAAAACTGTTTCCATCTTAGTGCAGGTGGTGGCATCTGGGCAGTCTATCCTGTTGTTTTCTCAATCAGTTTTTTCTGGGGAATTTTCCACTCCACAATAACTCTAATACTATCTGTATCTACATTATCTTCGTTTGGCCTAGCATCATTTCTGTCTCCTGGTGTTCCACCAAGGATATTGTGGGGTAGCTACCCAGCAGTAGGAAAAGGTGGACTTGAGAACTATACCTTTTGTCACCACTGTTCAAAGCCTAAGTCATCAAGGACGCACCATTGCAGTTCGTGCGGAATGTGTGTATTAGACATGGATCATCACTGCCCATTTGTGAGTATTGACCAGCATTCTTCTGTTTTAGCATAAGAGAAAGATATATGATTTAAAAGCAAAGGGCGTTGCAATTGTAAGATTTCAGTTCAGGACTTTTTGACTTAAATTAGGATAAAAGTAGACGCACTTGGCTGAAATTTTAAGGGAACTCCATAAATCAATTAGAGTTGATAGTTATCCTGTACAAGTAGAACTCCACAAATCAATTGAAGTTGATAGTTATCCTGTATGAGTAATTTGTCATGGACAATTTATATTTGTTTGGGAAAAGAAAGAGCAATATTTGATTTGGAAATAGGACAAAGAATTGAACTACAATATCAACCAGTTCCAGTTCTTTGAAACTTTCAGTCTTGTTCATAAAACTAATTTATTTATTTTTGGTTTGTAGCGAAATTTTGTCAATATTTTCGTCAAAGCTTCCTTTTTTTTTTGTAGCTTTATGGCTATTCAATTGTATTTGCCCATGCTTCCTATTCTTTTGTTATTGTAACCTTATGCTGAGAAATGTTGTTCATTTTGTTATATCATTATGATTCTTTTTGCTTTCCTCTAAATAATGGGCAAATGGTTTTTTTTTTCCTTTTTCTTTTTCCCTCGAGTACACGTGGTACACTGTATAAACATGCTCTTCATCCTTAAGGTTTTCAGATTTTCTTTTGAAAATTCACAATTTTTTTCCTTGATTCTAATAATTTCCATTTTGCTATTGAACTTTCACTATGTATGAGTATTGGATTGAATATCCTGTTTGCCTATGACATTGTTGATGGCACGGCAGATGTCTCCTGCCACCCTCAAAAATAAGGAAAAAGATGTAAAGGATCTGTCCTTCAATGTATAGGGGTCACATCAATTGTATGATATAAGTATGCATTTGACGATAGGATTGAATGATCCAACGCAACAATTTACTAAGAGTTGATACTGTATGGGACTCAAGCACTTGCAATAGTAGTAGCTGCTGTAAGTGCAGTGCAAGTTCTTGAGCGCTGCTTGGCAGTTGGGACAGTTTATTTAGTGGTTGCTTTGAAGTTGGAGTGAATGCTTTGCTCATAAAATGCATTTTTTGAAAAAATTCTATTTTCTACTTGAAGTCTTTCAATGACAATTCAATGCAATTGGAAGACAAGGATAGAGAAAGCACAAAACGAGGTTGTGCTAATGTACATGTTAGGATAAACAAATTGCCAAAGCAAAGTCCTTTTTTTGTCATTTTATACTCCTATGCGGAACAAAACATCTGGTCTATTTTTCCAGATTAATTGATTAATTTTCGATGGTCTGTTGAGTCTATTTTTCCGGATTAATTGATTACTTTTCAATAGTCTGTTGATAGGCAAGATCTATTTTTCAGTTATTTACCCTCTGTCTGCAGATTGGAAACTGTGTTGGTGCAGCTAATCACCGGTGCTTCATCATCTTCCTCATTTCAGCTGTAATGAGTACAATCTATGTCTCAACTATATCTTTTTATGCGGCACTTCATGTCTGGCCACCAGTAAATTATGTGGCCAATCAACCTCTAAACAGGCTTCTTTCTTATGAGGTCACCTTGAACTTCTTGAAAGAATCTGCTTTTGCATTGCTGAGATCTGCTGTCTTTCTTACACCAAGAGGGCGTGTTCTGGTTTACCTTTTCATCGCTAGTGTCTCGGTGGGGATTGGTTTAAGCGTACTCTTGTGGCAACAGCTCTCCTACGTATATAGAGGGAAGACTTACTTAAGTCAATTAAATGCTTCAGAGGGTGACGGTGGGGAAAGGGATTGCAAAAATTTAATCAACTTTTTTGGTTGTCAGTATATTGCAGCGAGATATTTCCCTAGTTTTTGGAACTCAAGGAAGACTCACGAGAAGTAAGCACGAAGAGGTTTGTAAACTTCTTTTCTGTTTTACATTGACCAGTTTCTTTAAATTTTGGTTATTATCATTGCTATTAAGTGGCAAAGCATATGCAGGAATAAGAGTTGCAAGAGATATTGATTTCTTTTTATGCGTTTCACAAGATGGTTGAGGACGAAAGTGTGAGTCTGGATTTATCGATCAATGATTTAGGTGTCCTAGTGAACTTGAAGCTTGCTTTTACTGGTGGATGCAAACTTCTGTACAGTAGCTTGTGATTAGTAAAGTTGCATAAGAGTTTATCAGGATTAGAAATAGCCAAGCGTTTTGGTCATGTATGTAAACCGGTGAGGTGTGACATCCAAACCCAAAATTTTTTGTGGTCTTTTGGCAGAGGGGGTTGATTCCTATTTTTGCAAATTTGAAATTATGGATAAACCAGGAAGATTTATTTTGCACATAATCTAGTTTTGAAAGTTCTGCTGTTAATTTTAAACTATTTACTTTATGGGTAATGTCACTTAATTGTATGGGAAAAATTCTTATATTTGATGCTTCTTTTATTGTGTAGGTAGCTATGAGTAATTTTGTGGGTTGTTTTCCTTTTATAGAGTAAAACTTAGAGACCCAATTATGAGCGTTATCCCCTTTTCTATATGTTCATAACAATTCTGGCTCACTCAATGTGCATGTGATCCAAAATATCTTTTGTATCAATTTTGTTAATTGTCCTATCATTAAAAGTGAAAAATTGACAAGATTTTAGTAAAGATAAGCTTAATTTGTCTTGGTTGCTTGTTAAATGGTTTTAAACTGAAAAAATGAAAACAAATTCTGGAAGAGGTAATTGGCTACAATTTCTAGCTTAGTGGTTGTAGATTTATTGACTTTAACAATGGAGGAAAGATGTTAACTTCTGCCCTGATTAATGTGAAGTTGGTAAATAGGGGATCATGATTTGATTGAAAATTTGTAACTGGAGAAGAAAACTGCGAGGATTCATTAGCTGTAGGGCAAATGTGCATTAGCATGTAGCAATGGTTGATTTACTGGGGTACAATTAGGCTTTTGATCATGGCAGTGGTTTTGTTTTTTTAACCTTCTTTTGGTGAAAGAGGATACAACCAGACAACGGGAGACACTGCCTGATTATAAGCAGTACTATCCTTTTATGTAGTAAAATTAAGATGTACACAAAGGAGCTAAATAAACAAATAAAATGTTTATTGCAGATTAACTTTTGATGGACACAAGCATTGACGGAAGTTAAAAAAAAAAGTACAGCATTGGTGACAGATTTTAAATAATCATATCACATGTCAATGTGGTCGAATTCTATGTTTGTATTTGCACCATGTACTTTAGAATGATGCATGATGTGGATTTAGTCTACCAACTTTTTGGCTTAAACCAACAGATACTTGCACATGCTGATTCTGTAGTATTGCAACACCTATTGGTATAATTTTGTATGCCAAGCATTTTATCATTTTAAAAAATTTCTAGAGTAAATTACAAGCTGTAGATTGCAGGATAAAGTTGAGATTCTAGCCTCTAAGAGGATAACAAACATCTGTGCAATCCTTTTAGTCCAAAGACTGCACCGCATCCAATTTCAGAATTGTTGAAACACTCTGTGGTGGATATTACTGTCCTTGATATGGTTTATCCTGCCTTATCATAATGTTTAGTCTCAACTCCCTCCCTCCCTCCCTCTCTCTCTCTCTCTCTCTCTCGATAGATTTGTCTTTTTTTTTTTGAAAAAGATAAACACAGTGCATTAATAAAAATTTTTTGTATGTACATGCAGGTTTTTTTGTATGATTGCTTGAGAATATGGCGTAGGTTACAAAAGATGGTTGTTTAGTTGTATTTGGACACACTTATGTGACTTTGACATATTAAAGAAATGAAGACAATTTTTTGTAGTTTTGATTAGAATTTCCACACGCTTACAAACTGTTTGATTCTGAATGCTTATGCTGTTCTGGGTCTTTTACTTCCTGCTTGTGGGAGGGGCCATGCTTTTTGATAAAGTGTTCCTTTTATAGCTTAAGTGTACATTGATGGAATTAGAATTTTTTGCATTGCATAAAGGTCAACTAGGAATAAGTCTTCCACATTGGCAATTATAATGGACATGTATTAATGCTAGCTGGTCGGATGTTTGTCTGTCAGTTGTTGCTAAAAGTAGTTCATAAGCTTGTCCTCCAGCATACAGATTCTTCTATCCCGTAGGTTTTGCAAATTTGTGATGATATTATAGTTTGTCCAACTTTCTGTTATTTGGTAATCTAATTAACCTATCTAGAATGGACATGAAGAAGCTTCTGAGGATCACAACAAGGGGCTGCAATAGTCTTTTCTAATCTTCTTTTACCTTTGTGCCTCTGGTTTTAGACCCTACAAGTTAAAAGAATGGTGGAGCCTGGCCGAACAGAACAAATTAATGGAAACTGGAGATCAATTGAAATGATGTATGGCGTTTCAGTAGGATATTCAATGACAAATTTGATAGCTTTTAGGATTATATAATCTTTTAAGCTCTTTGTCTCTCTCACGTTGTTGTTGATAGCACCATGCCTTCAGTTGTAGTCATTACACCTCCAGGATACTGAGACAGAATTACTGGCTGCCTTCCTGGCCTTAATTCAAAATTTATACATTAAGCAATAAGCCTGGAGGACATTATGCTTATTTAATCATTTTTGGCTGGTTAGAGTTCATTAGTTTTGGGCACTGAATGCCAAAAAAAATTTTAAAAAATTTTAAAAATAAAATAATAAATTATGAGAGAAGTGTTTTGTGTGCATATCAGGTGTTTGGTTTAACTTACTGATTTGCCTTCTGTGTTAAATTTCATTCTTAGTTGTTGTCAAGAATCTGTAAAATTTTATGATTCTATTATTTTAAATGTCTTTCATTGTTTTAGCCAATTATATATAACTATTCATAAATAACTTCCTTTCTTCAGCATGCTAATTATTAGTTTATCCTGTTTCAATGATCATCCTTTATCATGTATGCTGTTTAAGAAATGTGATTCAGTTTATTCTTTTTTTGGGTTGGTTGTAAGCAATGTGCTTTAGTTGAATATCTGAAATTTCAGGTTGATCGGAAATGGACTTGAATGGAAAAAATGGGGACAGAGAGAATACATAAATGGCTTTAAAGATTTAAGTGTCACTCTTTTGGTAACATTGACAAGATGATTGACAAATCTTGACTTCATTACATAAGACTGTGTTCTCTGAAACTAAAATTGGAGTCTCTACGTAAATCATAGTCAAACATGAGGTTGAGCAATCTTAGGAGTTGGACTTTCACAGTGGTGGGCAAAATTTACAGTGATAAAGTAACGAGGTAGATGACATTAATTAAGCACATATTTGGAGAATAACAAATAGCGAAAGGCAGAAAAAACCAGTCTTAGTTTTTTTTTTTTTTCGACACTCGGTATTTTATCCTACATCTACTCTATCCTATTCTAGGGGGGACCCAACTGGACTTATGGGAGGGCCGACGGGGACTGAACCACCATCGGTTCAGACGGGTGCACTACACACCCGTCTGGATTTGGAGAGCCACACCGGTGGCAATTAGTGGGAGGCAAGGTTTGAACCCTTGCCTCCCACCCCACCAAGCCTTAAAGGCTTGATGGTGGCCAACTCCTCTAATGGGAGTTGGTTAGTCTTAGTTAAACACAAAAAATCGTGCGGCAGTTGTGCAATTTATTGGATCATCCCATTGGGTTGTTAACCTTGGCCACTAATATTAGTTTATCAAGATGTGGTAATTTGTATTGGCATGCCCATATTGTCGTTGACTAGTTTTACTACAATTAATCCAAATTTTTTTCCCATTGAGAAGAAACTTTCAGAATTGTCTGCCCCTCCTTACAGAACTTGCTTCTCTAGGGCACCTTTGAATTTGCCATTTGGCAGCTTGGTTGCTCTTTAATAGGAGCATTAACTATAAGCATTTATTGAAGTGTGGGGGTAGGTAATTGTAAGAAGGTAATGCTAAACGTCTTGGTTTAATTAAATATTTTAGGCACGTACCTTTCTTTTATATAGCTTAAGGATGGTAATGATCTTGTTGAACTTCGGTTTTCTACTTTTCTGGATTACATAACTTGTGTTATCGCATTGACAAATACCTGCTAAAAGTGTTTGAAGGTTCCTAAAGAATTCAGAAAGAAATCATACCTTTGAATTGATGCTAGTGAAAAGGTGTTGCATTTCTTTATTTCGAATCATAAACACAGAGATGGATGGAGTGCTTTCATTTGATTAACGTCTAATCTGTTTAATGCCGTCAAGGCAAAATGGAGGTTAACTTATTAGCTTTCCAAATCTCAGCTTTATACTTTTAATTTTCCTGAATCTCCTGGGAATGCAAATTTATAAATGCTGCCTTTTATTTTGAAGAAACAATAAGAATTCTATGCCTTTGGTGCAGGCTTTCTTAAAGTACTGAACTATCTACGTGATATTTATGATTAAAAGCTTGTGGTTTTTGGAGCAGAAAGGGCTATTCCTTATTTGGAGATTAAGACTAGGGTTAGTACAGTTTCAATTAGTTGAGAGTGCCACTACAAGTGTCTGTTTATTCTAACTGCCAAAGCCTCTCTGTGATCTAGACTTTATCCGTCGATGTCTAACGTATATCAGTCAGTCTGATAGCGACGCACATCCATTATGTGGAACACTGTGCTTGCATTTTCTATCTCAAGTTTCAGGTCATTACTGACAAGCAACTGGTAATTAATTACCGTAGGAGTCCTAACTTCTTCAAAAATCATGTGTCCTGTATCATCAGTGCATGATATGCCCTGATAGGTCGAAACTAAGTGATGAAGATTCCTGGTGCTTTGTAGATTCTTATGTTGTATTTATTTGGAGAATGAATTCCTGTATTGTGCGATGAATGTTTGAAGCTGATGAATGAGGATTTTGTCATGGTGACTGGTTAGTGGATTTCTGTGTCATGGTTTATTTGAGTATCCGATCGTGCATAGTTTGCTAAAAACACCAAACAGTGCCATAGAAGTAACTGTTCTACTCTATAGTCTTAGTCTTTTGATACTCATTATGCGTTTTGAAGAGGAATATGTGAATGTTTGTTTCCTTTTTGTTTTCTGGCAGGGAGCCAAAATCAAGATTCTGACATGCAAGATTGCGGACTTCAGGGATTTATGTAGCTGCTCTTCTACTTTTGATAGGAAAATTTTGGAAGCTTCCACTCGTTATAGTTATTACTGTAGTTCGTTGTTCACTGGCTTTTAGATGTGAGCTGGTAATGAATTTTGCATCACGTCTGCCACATTTTTCCTTGTACTATTTTGTTTGGAAAAAACTTGTGTCTGCGAGGTTAAATTGAAGTTGGATCTCAGTGATTAATGAGTTATTTTTCGAAAACAATAAACTTAAACGGAACAGGGGACAAGAATAAAAAACAAAATAGAAAACTTCCAATATTTTGTCGGAATTGTAAACTTCCAATGTCTTTCTAGCACTTGTTGTAGTCGAGTAACCAAAGCAAACAGGATAATAAAGCGTAAGTTTAAATGCAATTTACAGTCATAGAGGAACAAAAGAAGTTGGATTAGCTTGGATGAATAATAGTTGCAACTTGCAAGGTCATATTATAGAGTCATGTCTATGACAATTCAACTATCTATTTCTGTCAAATCATCCTGCCGCGGTATATATCGACAGGTAAGAGATCCTGGACTGGAGTAGTGTGGAGCGTTCGACGGCAGCTGTTACAGGCTCGGATATCCCAACACAAAGTTCATAAAACATAGATGGGCAATCCAGGACCGGAGCAACAGAGATCAAGAAAAAGTAATCGCTTTGAATTTTTAGTATTTCTTGCAAAGAAAAGAGCTCCAAAAACACGTTTGTTTCTTCACTTCCCTCGGAAGGTTTTTTTTTTTTTCAATAGATTTACATCACTGGACTAGAGGTGTAGAAAATGGACGAATGAGAACGCAACAATGGAATTGAGCAAGATAACAAAATTGCCTAGGTATTCAAGTGACTCATCATCACTCACTACACAGTTCTGCATACTGCAATATACAGTGAACACCTTAACCCCAGCGAAAGAATGAATGCACCAATAATTGGCAAGTGAAAGCAAAAATATTTCAGCAGGCCAAATGCTATTGAAGAAGAAGACGAATCAATGACCAAGATAATCAAACATTAATATCTTTGCGCTTTGATCTGGCACTACTCATCTCCTGGGAACCCATTAAGGCAAATCTAGGGATGTTATAATTGTCGGGTGTGGTCATGGGCTGCTGTGGGTAGAGCGTGGGAGGTGGGGTGAGATTGCGTTGAGCAGGTAGTGGAGGAAGCGCATTATATTTGTAAGGGTCAGCAGCCAAACTGCAAAAGGCAGACATTGAAATCAAACCGAGTGCCAAGATTGAAATAATACTAAGGCTGCTTGTAAGGAATCCCATATTTTGTACAAAAGAAAGTAGAACAAATCTACGCGAGATACACTCATTTAGTGTAGCACAGTGGAATATGTGCCTAAGCAATAGCGGAAAAAGACATCTCATGTACTTAAAAACTTCTGTAAATAGCATTCACTAGACAAGCAATAACAACATAAATCCTCCCTCCCCACAACACACAGGCGCGCGCACAAAAGAATTCTGGAAGCACCACCAAATCGACCTAGAGAATTAGCAACAAAACTGATCCTATTATCAACTTGGCTTCTCAGAAAGTTATCGTTACAATTTGTTACTTTGACAACAATAGCCAAGTTATTGAATTGCCTAAGGTAGTTGATGCTGGCCTACATTCCTCTGTAGTAATAACTTGCAATTTTTTTAATAATATAATAACTGGTTGTACGCTAAAACTTGACAGGACTAATAATTTATCATCTAAAAGTTGAGACACATAAATCACGATTGTATACAAATTTTCAAATTAATTTGTCACATAAAAACTTAAACACTAAGCATTGAATTATCACCCCATCTCGCATTCTAAATTTTTGAGCAAGAATAACTTATCTGTTCATGTATTATGATATTTCCCTGCCAACTTATAACAAAAAATTTCAGATGTACTTATCCATATCCATACTCCTTGTACTAATCCTGGCTAAGAGGTGTAGACAGAGGAATTTCTCCTAGAATTAGTACTGATTCAGCTGTTGAAGCACAAGCAGGACTAATCCCCCCCCCCCCCCGCTCTCTCTCTCTCTCCCCCCAAAAAACCCAAAAAAAAAAAGGGAAAACTGCAAGCAGAAGTTCAAAGAATTTGGTGACAGTCAATGATGCAGAAACTTAAAGTTGCACTTCCACCACAAATGGCTCAATCAATAGGTTTAGAATTGTTGCAAGCTTTGTAATATCTCCAGCAAGAGAATTGGTGTATTACCTTCTCAAATATTATTTCCTAGCACCTCCCTGTTTCTTATCAACTTTAGATGGTGAAGATGTTAATGACAAATTAATCCAATTAATCCAAAAGCAAAATCCCTAAGACAACTAGTCATCCAGAACAAAAAGCAAGACTAGTAACTCTCCTCCAGCTATACAGGTTTATTAACTTGCATTCTTATTTTCCCCAAAAAGAGACCATGTCCCTCCTGATACCCAGCCACAGTACATGACACACAAGTCAACCATATGATACCAGATATAATGATGCAAGTATAGCTCAAGAAAGTAGAGGTACATTGGGCAGTTAAGAAAGTTTTTCACAGTTCAACCTAGTGAAAAGCATTATCAACCACTAATTTCTGTGGCACAGCAAAACAATGTACACATAAATCCCCAACCTGTGTGGTCACACGAATGTGTGCATGCGCGTATGGATGTAAAAGAACGAATGTAGTTTTACTGAAATTCAAAGGTTAAGGAATGACAGAAAGAAGTAGGATAAGGTTGAGTGAGGAAGAAGGAAGTTAACATAGCAAAGGGCATTTAGGACGTATGTGCAAAGAGGCATTTCACCAAAACCGTCTTCATGCATCATATATAATTAGACAAGAGAGCTCAAATATATCGTACTCTGTAGTATGATTTGTAAAAGTTAATGCAATGCCCTCTATATCAAGATAAGAAACCTATGCCTCTCATACCTTGAAGTTTTGTACGAATGATCCTCATCACTAGAAATTTCATCCGATCTATGGGATGCTCCATGAAGTGGGCTAGACCATGAACTTGTAACAGGTAAACTGTCTGAAAAGTACCTCCTCCTGATCAACTGTTAAAAAGTCCATAACCTTTAGACGATTGAATAGAATATAAATTTTAGTCACAAAAGATCTAACGGGGAAAGTACAGACCATACGAAAGAACTTCATCACAGCTTCTTTGTCATATCTGGATTCTTTTGCAGCCTGTTTGTTAACAAAAGAAATAAGCTAAGCTAAGTTATATATCCAAATGGATAAAATTCTAGATGCTATAAATGTTCTCAAATTAAAACATTGGAAAAGGCATCTAATAAAGAGATTCCCTGCATAAAAGATTTATATTATAGGGTATATACATGAAGCTCATTTGATGTCCAAAATGAAGTGCAAATAAATCCTATATTCAGTATATTACCATCATCTTCTGCAAAAAGTCGCCACCAATAGCAAAGGACTCACAAGAAATACAAGAATACCCACAAGTGAAGACAAGACATGTTTCTTATCAAACCAAACACTTCTAATTTACCAGGAAATTTGATATAAGAAAGCTATCTTGCTCGCTTAAAAAGCTTCACACACTAACAGGCAGACAAGTGGTTTTGCTCACATCCACTAAACAGAACCACCAAGATGCAGAGTATAACTACCGAGGTAATCGAGAGCATCCAGCATAGATGCTCATTCATCTTAAGACGTACCCACCACCTCTTTATGGAAGCAACACGACTTGAACTGTTGTCTTATGGCTGCTTAGTTCAACAGCTGCTAATTGTTCTGCGTTCTAGCAAATCAATAGATCATGAAATGTGGATAAGAATGTTGCACCTAGATTGCCACGACAATTGAAACTTTCTTCACAACTAATGTCCAATCTTCAACTCTTTAAATAAGCTAATTCATAATGTTTACAAATTACTTTTACATGATGTTAATCTCAAAAAAAAAAAGGAAGGAAAAATAAGATTAAAGGTTATGGAAGAGTAGAAGAACATGACATGCCCCCGTTATGCTCATTATACAAGAAGCCACAATGAAATTATTTTAAAAGTTGAGACTCTTCCTACTCAATATGGTATCACTTTCCATACCATGGTAATACCAACAATAATGTCTTTCCATGGTCTTAGCTTCCTATAAACCTTAGATCTTAATAGATCATGTGCAATTCAATAATGTCAATCACAAGGACAAGAATCTCAATCGTATATACACTAATAAATAAAAAGTTGATTCCTACAGAAAAACACTTATTAAAAACTGACAAAATTCATAAATTAATGTGGCACAGGTGTCTTTCTTCCCTCATATCTTATTAATCCCCTTTAAACAGTACATGGTAACCTTTATTTGCTTTATCGAATCATGAGGTAATTTACTAAGCTCTAGCACTATCAAATTTCCGTAACAGGATAAAGCCAACACTCCTAATAAAATCAATCTTAAAGGCTATGCTAGGTTACCATCAAAGTAGGTATTGGCAGCAGATTTTCATACCTACTGAGATCCAACTATTCTGCCAATTGACAAAAATGACGACCACCACCCAAAAAAAAAAAAAGATGTAGGAAAGCAGTTTCAGTTTCTGCCACTTACTGCTACAAGGCCACCAGATCCTGGGAAACTCTCAGTCAGTGGGAGTTCCTCACTTGAAGGAAGCAAACCCTGCTTCTCAACCCATTGGCGTGCTGCATCTACAAGATTGCCACTGCTACCTCTTATTCCTTCTTTCGCAGCAATATCTGCTTTGTTCCCAATAACAATGTAAGGAACTGGGAGGCCTCCAGGCCCTCCCGATGCAAGAGGGGCCGAAAATGTCCCAGTTGCTGCAATCTCTGCAGCCCACTTCTGTAAGCTTGACTTTGTTCTTCTCTGTGAGAGATCATGAACAAAAATAACACCTAAAAAGAAATTTTAGGCAAGGAGGAGAAGAAGAATTACAATCATAAATACACAAGCAAATAACTTAAACAACTCAATGAAACATTCAGTTGCTGGTTTTCACCAGAAGCTCTAATATCTCGACCAGACCTCATTTGAACCATCATCCTTTAATTATTTTCATTTAAGTCCTCTAGTTTCTGATATCATTCCCCATTAGATTTTAAAGGATATATGATACAAGTTCAATATACAAAGTGATTACACAAGGTTGATAGAGAGAATTGGATGGCCAAAGTATAACTTATTCAAAAAGTTAGCAAGAGAATAATTAC